TAGGCCGCAATTTTTGAGATATTTTGAAGAGATTGCGCGCATTTCAACCAAGGACGAACGCTATTGAAAATGGTTCGGATCTCAACACTTTTTCCATTGCTTCCGATGCCTTATTTTGAAAGATGATTTAACCATGTCTTACTATAGCCTTTTTTTATATGATATCGAATTTTGTTTTAAGAAAAGGAAATAGCGTGTCGCTGTTTAATCGACAAAGGGAATAACCCATCATTCCCAAATCTTTAGACACGAATTTTTTAAATGGATCCTATAAGCAGACAAGCAAAGAAGATATGATCAAAATTGCGGTTTATAAGTTGAACATAAAAACACAGACATCGGACTTGCATAATATACACGATTCAGAAAACTGATTCTTAATCCGCTAATATACTAAATGGATAGTAAGTAGATAAAGTCTGCGCATAAATGCTGTAATAATTTCTAAATTATTGTTTTGACCTTATAGTAAACCTAGCAGATCTAAATGTAAACATAGCAAAGAATTAAAGCAATTATAAACCAATCCATACAATCATTGAGAAAAACGAAATGAGGTAGAGATATAAGGACGGTTAAAAGGGTATAGTAATAGTTAAGTTCGTTCACGCGAATTCGAATCATTGAAAAACGGCAAATACAAGTGGATAGATAGCACATGATTCTTTTATTTTATTTTAATAAATTAGCTTTAAATACTTGGTGCTGCATACATTAATCAAAATTATTTAATGAAATAAAATGTTTTAAAAAAATTTTAAAATCAAATTAATTAAATGAAATTTTAATTAGTTTAGTTACTATGAACATATCCGCTCGAATCTTTAAATAATTGACAACTTTTTGGTGCTTACTTAAGTTGCTATTGTCTTTATAGTTCATTAAGCTAATCCTGATTGAAAGCTGTTTGACGGGGAAATTTTTCATTCAAAATTTCATTAAATATCTGGATTATACTAATACCTGTTTCAATCGCTTGGACACTTTTAAGTAGCAGGAGGAATTTGATTGCGAAGAAAGAGCACCTTATAGTGATACATTAAATCGGATGTATCTTTGCAAGACAATGGCCCTACATCCCTCGTCTATATTTTACATCATTGAACTTGCTTCAAAGTTCATTATACCATTGAAATGGCCAATGAATCTTCTTAAAACTTTTTGATTGAAATTTCTTATCATTTCCCAACCCTTTTCTTTTTCTTTCAGTAAAAGACATGTAATCAGAAATTTGGTATAGTCTAGTGGTTAAGAAACCTTATTTTTTGGCAGTAGCAGTGATTGCTGTTTGTTTCACACATTGTAGCTTGGGCTTAAAATAAAAAAAATATTATTTTGCTTTTCTTTCTACCTCAATCAGCAACGGAAACATAAAAAAAAAAACACCGCAAGCACTTATACTGCATAAAAATACAGTCAAGCAGTTAAAGTATGTAAAGGCGCAAGTGCGATTATCTTGAAAGTGCATTTTTAAACTTCCTATATTGATAGCAATTGAATATTAAGATCAATAGCAAATTAAACTATGACTATACTAAATACTAAAATATTTTCAAGCGTAAATATTGGGTGAGGGAACAATCTATCTGGCAGCACTCCAGTAAATGTTACCTCCAATTACGTAGTCGTCTTTCGGCACTTTGCTCATTATTGATCTTAAGGATATAGAATCCAGTAGAGTTCATCTAAAATTAAAGATAAATTACACAAGGTCCAATGTCAATTGATTTAAGGCTAATTATCTTCGAATTCTTAAAAGCATTACGCGAGTGCAAATGACACTCACTTGTTATTGTGGTCATATGTACGTTAGGTGTTCCTGTCTGCGGTATTTATATTTACTAGCTCTTCAACACAAAATCTTGTTTTTCTTAAGAGACTTACGTGAAAATATAAAATTACGCGGAGCCCTTATAGTATAACAACAATTTCTTCATTTTTCAGTCGGTGAATTTCAGTTATTGAGAGTTCTTCACTCTCTTCAGTCAGTTCGATATCTTCAACTTGAATCGGTTTCCGCATTGCTTTTCCTTTCCTTGTCGTCATTCCTTTCTCCATCAATTTTCGGTTCAATAACGCTTAAGTCTTGAAATCGGGGAAGCTTCTCTGGCGTCTCTATTTTATTTGAAGCTGAGATAAAATTTTACTTTAGATTGTTGCGCTTGGGGAGAACTTTTCGCGTAGGTACAGTGACACTTAACTCAATTTAATTGAAGCATAATACAAATGCAAAAAATAAGGCTAATATTGGATTAACCGAGAAACGATAAATTATTTTGATGTTTCTGCGAATCACTAAGAAAAAATCGAAAGCGCAGTGATATATTTTTCGCTTGAGGAAAATTTTATTACTGACGTGTCGATATGCCAACAATCGTCACTTTTTACTTTTACTTTACTTTCTTTTCAGTTATTTGACTCACAAATCTCAAGGCCCACGTGTAGACGACGAATAAAACAAGAAAATTCTCTTTCTACTCAAGGCTAACTTTTCGAGTAAAGGAAAAAACTTGAAATTACTTTGCGACGTATTGATTAAAATTTGAAGGCGATTACGTAGATATCAAGCGGGGAAGATAACAGGAAAACTCCGCGCTCACTGGATTTCAGAGAGGAGAGCGAGTTTTTGAGTTTAGGCCTCTAACATTTTGGTAAATAAGTGTTGGTGAGCCCGAAGAAACATTTATTTTTTGAGTGTTCCCAAGGAATGAAATCATTTTTTTAATGTACCAACTGGCCACAATGGTTTGTTTACCAGAATTTCCTTCTATTCAGTTGTGACTGACAATTTAATAGACGACATAGCTGTATGTTGACATGGAGTCAATTTGAAAATGCTTACACGCTTCAAATTGACAGAAGGGACTTTTACAGTCAGATAACTTTTTATGTTATCCATAGGCGCCAATCTTGACGCGGATATTGCCTTTCTGGGGGATAGTGCCGACAAGCAGAAAAATCATATGGTTTGCAGGTAGCGAGCTTTGATTTGGCGAGAATTTGTCTATAAAAACATCTGATAAGTTGAAAACAAATTTGTGGAGCGAATGCTTTCTAGTTAGACATAATAATCAAAGAATCCAAGCAATAAAAACAGTATCTGTAGCACTTTTCCGGGACGCTTGAAAATTAAGTTAAAAAGTGTTTGGTTGAAACTCCACGGTACACACAAAATTCTCCATCAGGTCGTTGGCGACTAACACGGATACAGAGGCAGTACCAGCGTCCTAAGAAACAACCGGTTTTCCCGAACTCTTACTGACAATGACGGAATTTGGGCCACCATCAGTGGCTATTTCAACCTGTCTGCCAGGCTTCGGCCTAACGTATATAAATAATTTCCATCTTGTGGTAAACGTTGTAGGAGGCATTTGTATATACATAAAACAAGCTGCAGAGGGCAGCATTTTTCAAGAAGTGCATGCAACAATGTAATGAAAAAATGCAACAAAATTGCAACTCTGCGGAAAGATTGTTGTATTTGCTAATACGAAGCAAAGGCGAGTTAGTGAAAGATTTTTCAAAATTATTTTACAGTTTCTTTTTGGAAAGATTGTTAGTGTGTTTATAAGTGTAACATAATCTTTATATCTCCATCTCCCCATACAGCGCCCGCTCATAACGCCCGTTTATCTTTTCGATTTTAACTTTTTGACATGAAAGGAACTGCTATGTCTATTAAAATATATGACTTGTATCTTTGTCTTCAAAATAAAACTTATTTTTTTGCGTAAAATACAAAACGTTTTTCTTAAATTCATTGATTAAAATGATGTTTCAAAATATTTGGTTGAAGTATGTATGGAAGAGTCGCCCTGATCTGGCAAAACATATGTTTATAGTACTTTCGAGTTTAACGGTTCATTCACATCTTTCATTCTGTTATATACAAATACTAATACAGAATACTGTTAGTGTTATCAGTTAGATTGTAGTCCTTTTTAGTTGAATGTATGGGTAAAATTTTATACGTGAAGGACATAAGAAAAGTCAATATTTTATTAGTATAACATAATTTGTGGCTTTTGTGCGTAAACGGTTGAAAAAAGTAAAGAAAATTTTTTAAAAATTAATACAAAAAGTAATAATAATAATAATAATAAAATCTTAGTAAGAGTTTAATGAAAATTCAAATGAATAAAATAAGAAGACAAGAAAGTTTATAAAATTATAAAAATCACATAATCCAACGTTGAGGGTGTAGAAAAGCCAATATAATTGAAAAAACTAAATGGGAGCAAAGCAAAGAAAATAAGATAAAATGAATATTTAAAACGCATTCTACGCTTCCTCCTTTATCTGTGATCTCTTTCAGGGACTTGTGATTAATATTTTATAAAATTTTTTAGATCCTCTTTACTCATTTTATTAGCAGTGTTCTCCTATTCCTTTTCGATTTCAATATGAATTTTAATTAGAGAAGAAATTTCAGTGTATTCATGTTGCTTTGAAATTTTATTTATTCATATTTATTAATTAAATTAAGGAATGACATCATAAGTGTGTCTGTTAAATGAAAAGCATTTGATGTGCCACCACATCAGCTTATTTAGGCATTAACTTGGACTTTAATAGGATGGGATAAAAATATTTCCTTGAATACTCTCCTAGTATTCGATTTTTTGTTGTCCACTCAAATTTTCCAAGCGCTAATAGGTTTATGTGTAGGTAGATGAAAAATGAATTAAGAAATAAGTAAAAAAAATTGTGTCTTATCGTTGTTTATGTGCATATGTTTCCGTGTAAATAGGCGTATGTAGGCATTAACAGCTGTTTTGTATTGCAACGACATTAACAGACTATGTTATCGATTGTCATCGAATTTTATCCTTTTCTTCTGTTAAAGAAGAATCAAGCGAAGGATATAAGAAAAGTCATGACCTTCAGGTTGTTGTGTATTGTTTACATTTGTTAGAACAGTGGAAAATCAAAACAAAAACAAAGAATGATATAATAATCAAAAACTCAGATTTGAAAAGAAGATAAATTAAGGAAAATTTATTTAAAATTTGAAAAAGTTAATGAATATTGAAAACTGAATTGAAAATATTGCGATAATATTTTAATTACATCAAGATGTCGTATTTATAAAGTATGATGTCTTTCTTGGAATCAGGAGATCAACAAAAACAACAACAACAAAAACAACAACAGCAACAGCAGAAAAATCATCGACAACAGCAACAACAGCGAAAATTTGCTATTAAATCAATTTTAGTAAATCAATCGCAAGAAGGAAATGATGAAAGTTCGTCCAGCAACAAAAAATTGCGCTCATTTAATTTAGAAGCGAACGAAAAACGAGGTGAAAAAGTTAAGGAAGTTATTCAAAAACAAGAACAATATAATCAATTACAAATAGAGCAACGACAACAACAACAGTTACACCAAAGCGAATCACAACAAGGGGAACAGCCAAGCCAAAAACAAAAGCAACAGCAACAGGATAGCCAACAAGAGCAACTTAGTGCCAATAGCAGCAGCAGCAGTAAAAATTTATTTACAACAAAGAATAATGATGATAATGATTTCGAGGTTTCAGCAACAGTAAGAACTACAGTCAGTGATGATACAGTAGAAAGTAATCAAAAGACTGTAGCACTTTTAGAAACATCACTTTCGTTCCTTCCACCGACCAACACCACCAGCAACACCACCAAAGTAGCTTCCAATAAGTCCGCCTTGATGCCTACATATTATACAGTGGAGTTTGACAATAAGAACCATTGCAGTCAACAAAAAGTGAAACCGCTTTACTATATTCAAAACTCACAGTATCAGCCATTAATTTATCAAAATGTTTCCCATGACAACAATAATGAGCAGTAAGTAAATATTTTTCATTTTACCCGCATACCCGTCTCAAATAGCGTTACTGAAGGTGAACTTTATAATAATAGTGAGGAGTTTTTTTACAAAAATATAAACTAAAAGACTTATAAGAGAAAAAGTATTAATCCTTAAGTAGGCTTACAATATTTCCATAATGTTTTGTAAATAATCCGCCACAAAAATGACCTTCTAAGTTTAAATATTCCTCTTTGTTACCTTTTCCCTGATGAATTTTACCTGAAAGGTGTCTTTTTTGCTACGCGTCTATCAAAGACAAAAGAGGATGTTTGATACCATACATGTAGCGAAGTGACAGAGAAAATAACAAAAAAAGAAAATTTATAAGTCCATAGGCGATTTCGTAATTAATAACGAAAACTTCACTCACAAATTTCTTGGCTGAAGTACTCAAAGCTTTGGAATGACTCAAAATTATTTAACCCGACATCCAAAAAAAAAAAAACGAAAAAGCTTTCGAATTGCTCTCAGCTCCCATATCTACTAAAAGGAGATCTTGATAAAGTCAGAATAACACACACACAGCAGAAATACTTTTCAAATATATTTCCTAGTTAGTGGAAGAGATAAAAACGAAATCAATCAATAAGGCATTGGGCAGTAACCTTTTAGCGAAAGTGCATTTAACAAAGGCAGTCTTTTCTGAGTGCGTTCAGAAAAAGCACAAAATTTCAAAGAAAAAATTTTTGTGAGATCATGAATTTTTCTCCACATATTTTAGATGGTCCGAAGCATTTTTTTGCCGAAAACTTTTCAATGATCTTACCCTTTAAAGCGGTATTTGCGGCTGACTAGGATGAAAAACATTTTCAAGATCAAAATTGGAAATCAAAAATAATCTTCCTTTTGATACACACTTTGGCTTATTCCGCTAAACATTTGCGTTTTCGTTTTCTCGCCTTTAAAAGTGGAAAGATTTTTCCTTTCATATTCAAGATAAGATTAAGTTTCGTGAATGTCTTCTTAAAATGTTTCTTAAAAGATTAAATGAAAAAAGTTTACCTAAACAATATTTCTCTTGTTTGTTTTTAGGCGACTTCATTTGAAACGCTTAAAATTTAGTAAAAATAAGGGACAATTCGGCGAACACGAATCAAAACGTCTGCAGCAAAGTCTGGCTACTGATTCTGAGGATGAACCAATGAATAGCGATCGAATTGAATGCAAGTTGACCGGCGATGAGAAATTATTTATGAATCCTTTAAAAGGATCAAAGGTTTCAAAGGACGATTTAGAAAGTGTTCCAGAATCTACAACAACGGTTGCTGCGGCAACAATAAAAAACATTTCATCGACTTCAACGCAAGCCGGAATTTCCCATAATAATGGCCAAATCCATAAAGCTCACAATAAGAAACGTCAACAACAGTTATTAACTTTAAAAAATTTAAGCAGCAATGATAGTAAAAATAATCACGTCCAAGACGAGGAATTCAAAGAGGATCATGAAAATTTCGAGCATAATAATAAGCGAGTATCTTGTCGAAAAAGGCGACAATCCTTAATAAGCACTCAACGCATTAGTTGCGATAATTTAGGCGAAGGTTTAAATGAAACAGTGAAAACTGTCCAGAGTGAAGAACCTTTACAAAAATCAGCGAATAAGAGAAGAGAGTCGAGCGCTGGATGCCAAGCAGTGCCTATGAATTCAAACTCAAAAGCTTCGAATCCTTATGCTTTCTCGGTTACAGTTCAAATTGACGACAGTTTACCAGTAAATGTTGGCAACGAAAGCAGCAGCGTTGTTGGGGATAAACGGCATAGCTATTGTAGCAGTTGTAGCAGTAGTAACAGCTGTAATTGTGACATCACTGGAGAGAATAGTACACAATACGAAGGATTTGGTGTGGGTTTGGTGGTCAGTTCGGGCACCGACGATTGCACCAGCGGCGGCTCACCAAGTCTAGCGGGCAGTAGTAATGGCACTGGTTGTATTGGGACGTCTAATCAGAGGAATTTTGGGGCAACTGAATCCTCTGTACCGTTGCTGGATGATAAATTATATCCAATCAATGCCGCCAATTGTCACGATTTGAGCGAATCACATCGTCCGGACTATAAAGCTAAGAGACGCGATCAAAAATGTTACACTACCAACAACAATGTTCAAAAATCTGTATTCAATGAAAATAATATATCGGAAAATCAGGGAGCTCTGAATCAGCTAACAATCGATGACTCAGAATCTCGTCGCCAACAAGTTCATGACTTTTTGCAGCATAATCAAATGCGGAAAATTGCGGCATTAAGGCGCAAAGATTTCGCTAATAGTAGCAATTATTCGTCGGATAATTTCAATACTCCAGTGCCGAATTTTGCAGACAGTTTCGTGTCACCTACTTCGGGTACTATCAGTGCAAAGAATGGCACGGAATATCAGTATCATCGTCAAGCCTGGAACAAGAGCACCTATAGTAAGCGAATTATCTGATCTAAAAACGCAGTTAGAATGAAATTTTCTCATATTTTTTTCAGTAACCGATGAAGCAGTCAATATTCAGGAGAAAGTTAACGGTGTTAACAAGGTTGGGGCCAACGCTGCTAGCCCTTATCCGCCAAAATCAGCAACTGGAACTACCACACAGAAGCAACCACAACGACCACGAGTTTGTAAACAACAACCCGATAGACCGGAACGAGCTTTATTTTGCTTGGGTATTAAGAATCCTTTGCGCGCTTTTTGCATTGGCATCGTTGATTCAAAGTATCCTTGAATAAAATTCTCTAAGTATTTTATTGGCCTAACTGACGCTGATAGATGGCTGCTTTGGGAGATTTAGTTTCCTTTGACCATTTAAAGGAACTTTCTATTGACCCAATTCGCTTGATTATGTACTCTTTTTAAATTGATCGCAATTGCTAAACAGGTTTAGCGTAAATGTAGTTGGGTTAGATGTCTTTCTGCTTAAATATTTTTGCAAATGTTAAAAATGATTGACGCAAAAACGAATTTTCGGTCATAGCGAATCGTATCGTTATTTGGATCACTGAACGGTTGGAAAAATTTTTGAACCCCTCTCATATAAGGAAAACTGAAGTTTATGCGACAACAAGCTTCATATTGAAAATTATATCATAATAGTAATTTATTATAAAAACTGTACGAAATTTGGACCTTGTCGGCCTATTCTTTGGATCCTGCCCTAATAAAGACTTTCACGAAAATTGATCCCTTGTAGAGCAGAAAAGTCTACATTTTAATATGTAGTGATGAAAATTGATCCATGATAGTAATTTCATACTAAAATGAACTCTACAAAATTCGGACCATCTACGCCTACTTTTGGATCCTGCCCTAGGTAAGGATTAAACTTGTTCTACATTAGATTGGGTTTTGGACCCGCTTCCCCATAAATACGCACATGAATAATTTTTGTGTTCTATAATAAGAATAAGAATTGTGTTAGACAATATGGTGTAGTGTATTTAATGGTCGGCCTTACCTGACTATAAAGTTCTCACTTGTTTTGAAGGTCGCTATGTTGTCTAGGTAATCCGCAGACTTAATTTTGACTCATCGCTTGTATGTAAATAAACTGCTTCTTGTCCATCCACGGTAAAATAAGGATTTGACTATGAATTACTTAGTAGGAAAAGTTGTTTATTATGATTTTCCTTAATTTGAATTTTTTGTCTCAACTAAGACTCTTCGAATATTTCATTCTGTTAACAATCGGAGCTAATTGTGTAGCTTTAGCTGTTTATACTCCATACCCGTTTGGTGATTCCAATGAGACAAATCAGATACTGGTTGGTAGAGAACTCAATATGTTGAAAAGAAAAAAGTTTGTTTTGAATTTCTTTTATAGGAACATGTTGAAGCCGTGTTCCTTGTAATCTTTACCTTCGAGTGCGTAATGAAAATTATAGCTTATGGATTTTGTTTACACAGTGGTTCATATCTGCGTAATGCTTGGAATTTTTTGGATTTCTTCATCGTTGTCATCGGGTAAGCTGCATTAGAAGACAAGCTACAGGAGAGGAAAACTTAAATCATTTTATTTCTATATTTATGAAGCATGATAAGTACGGCTTTATCCAACTTAATGAAAGATGGTTTTGATGTGAAAGCGCTGAGAGCTTTTCGTGTATTGCGTCCTCTTCGTTTAGTTTCTGGTGTACCCAGTAAGTGTTGTAATTTGAAGATTCATTTTTTCCCTCTCTTTATAAAATTACTTTTTAGGCTTACAAGTCGTATTGAATTCAATTTTGCGCGCAATGATACCGCTTTTGCATATAGCTCTCTTGGTATTGTTTGTTATAATTATTTATGCCATAATCGGTCTAGAATTGTTTAGTGGCAAATTGAATAGAACTTGCCGTGATCCACTCACTGGTATGTAAATGTATTTTTATCTTTACTTAGCATACGGTACAAATGAACTGCTAAAGTTAATGTATATATGTTTGAATGTAGGTGAGTATCTGAACGATGCGGATGATTTGCATCCATGTGGTGCGGGTTTTCAATGTCCAGAGGGCTTCATTTGCTATGACGATTGGGTTGGTCCGAATTGGGGTATAACCAACTTTGATAACTTTGGCTTGGCCATGCTAACGGTCTTCCAATGTGTTACCTTGGAAGGCTGGACAGATGTGCTATATGACATTCAAGACGCGATGGGCTCATCTTGGCAATGGATTTATTTTGTTTCGATGGTCATATTGGGAGCTTTTTTTGTTATGAATCTAATATTGGGCGTTTTATCTGGCGAATTCTCTAAAGAACGGACAAAAGCGAAAAATCGCGGTGATTTTCAGAAATTACGTGAAAAGCAGCAAATTGAAGACGATCTTAAAGGCTATTTGGATTGGATAACACAGGCTGAAGATATTGAACCTGAAGCTGACGGCCAATTACTATCTGAGTCAAAACCAGTGAAAGCAAATAATGAAATCGATACTGTTGATCAAATTGGCGATAATACTTGCTTCGAAGTTCAAACAAGTGAATCATGGTTTTCGAAAAAGAAAAAAGACTTGGATCGTGTCAATCGTCGTTTACGTCGGGCTTGTCGTAAAACCGTAAAATCTCAAGCTTTTTATTGGTTAATTATCATTTTGGTTTTCTTAAATACGGGAGTCCTGGCCACCGAACATCACATGCAACCAGCCTGGCTAGATGACTTTCAAGGTAAATCGTTTCAACGATATATACAATTCAATATCAAATTGATTAAAAACATTTTTCATAACATTTCAGAATACACCAATATTTTCTTCATCGCTTTATTCACCTGCGAGATGTTATTGAAAATGTATAGCTTGGGCTTAGAGGGTTATTTTGTCTCCCTTTTCAATCGTTTCGATTGTTTTGTTGTTATCGGTAGTATAACGGAAATGATTTTGACTAGCAGTGAACTAATGCCACCGTTGGGCGTCTCCGTCTTACGTTGTGTCCGTTTATTGCGAGTCTTTAAAGTCACAAAGTAAACGAAAATACATATTTAAAAAAAAAAAGTCTTTTATTCTTTATTTACTTTATTGGTTTTTATTAGATATTGGCGTTCCCTGTCTAACTTGGTTGCTTCCCTATTGAATTCTATACAATCGATTGCCTCTTTATTGTTACTTTTATTTTTGTTTATTGTGATTTTCGCTCTACTCGGTATGCAGTTGTTTGGCGGTAAATTTACGTTTAATCAAGAGGAGGAAAAACCGCGTTCCAACTTTGATAGTTTCTATCAAAGTCTTCTAACCGTGTTTCAGGTAAATGTGCGATCATTTTTTTTTTTGTTTTTTTCATTTCGAAAAAAGTTCAGTTCAAATTTCTTCTCAGATATTAACTGGCGAAGACTGGAATGCCGTTATGTACGACGGTATACGCGCTCATGGAGGCGTATTTTCCTTTGGTGTACTTTCCTGCATATATTTTATTATTTTATTCATTTGCGGAAATTATATACTGTTGAATGTGTTTCTGGCCATCGCTGTCGATAACTTGGCAGACGCGGACTCCTTAACGGCCATCGATAAGGAACATGAGCAGAGAATTGAAGAGGAATGCAATAAATCGCATAATTCTACGCCTACATCGGAAGGCGGTGAAGATTTAAATGAAGTTGACGACGTTTGCATTGACGTGACTAAGCACGAAATGAATGATAAAAAGATGTAAGTGATTAGTGTAATTTAAGTGATTTGTTGCAAAAAAATTGAGAAGAGTAAGTGAAATTTTCATCACTATCGGAGACTGGAAATAATCGGGCTTGAGTATAAGTGCAGTTTATGAAGAGCTGATTATAATGATTAGGTTTTGTAGGGAGGCTTTACTCATTCCCTAACCTTAAGAGGAATGCGAATGATTCAAGAATTAGAGATTATGTTATTGAAAGTATGTAGTCGAGATAGACACAGTTCGATTAATTCGGATCGAATAGAATTATCATTGTGATGATCTTTGTAAATAGATTTTTTGATTTTATTTTTATCGCATATCTTTCTTCTGCAAAAAGAGCTGATGAAGTTTTAACTGAACGCGAAGTATGGGAAGAGGAACGTGAAATATGCGAAGAGGAACAAGAGTGTAAGTAGCATCTAAGTTAACAATTTACAAAGTCTTACTCTAATTCATTATGTTAAACATAGTAGACAAAGCTTTCTATGTCAATCTAGTCAAAATTAATTTCGCAATTGATTTAAGCTGGCTTTCTCTGTTTAGATGCTGGTGCTCTAAGAATTTATTGTCAGATTTTCATACCCTTTCTACTCTATATTTATATTTCAAACACACACGCAAACACGTGTGATATAGGTTCGTGCGGATGTATGTAACAACCAGAAGGGTCAGATTTTCATACCTTTTCTACTCCATATTTATATTTCAAACAAACACGCATACACGAGCGATGTATGTTTGCGCGGACGTATGTAACACCCAGAAGGGCTTAAGATAGCTTTTATTTTTTGTGTTGATCCATTCGAAATCATTTTCTGAATCGATCTAAGCCTGTCTTCTTGTTCAACGTTCGCAACTTTTGAAATATTTTGTAAAGTTTGGTACGCTGAGGTGCTGTCACCCACGGATGAACGCTATCGAAAACGGTACGGATCGGTCCACTCTCTCGACCACTCCTCATATAACGCCTTATTTTAAAAAGTTATTATATAGAAAAATACTACAATTTGAAAAATTTTTCGACAAAGCTCGCTGAGTAGTCCTGTTTAGAGATTATAAATTTTCATGAAAAATTTGGTTCGGCTAGATAAATTTTTTGAACCTACTCTCTATAATCTTTCCTAAGAAATCTGAATCTTTAGTCACTACAGTGGATTGTAATGTCGAACTTTGTCGTTTCTTTTTTCGCATTAATTTGTTTTAACGTAAACATCGCCGGATTCATCGATTAGCATCCACAGATGAAATATCACCCACGTCTTCTGGTCGTCCCCGTCGCCATTCGGAAAGGAATACTAAGAAGATCAAGAAACCTATACCAAAAGGAAGTTCTTTCTTCATATTTAGTAATACTAACAGGTAATAATCAATTACATAAATATAATTAATATTGTTATAGTATTATCATAAGTGGGATGATAAGCATTGAGATTAATTCGGCAATATAAGATAATCCATAGATCCCAATTAAGATCGCTCCGCGAAATAGAGACTTACTTTTATACTCGTACATATGTATTTTATATAGAGTCGAAGGCATTTATTGAGAGAAGTAAGAAATTTTTTAAGATATTACGAGTTAGACTTGATCGCAGATAGCATATATCACTGTCGATTGACTTATCTTCAGCATCTCTTGCTTGCTCTTCCCCAGCGGTCTTGTCTGAATGTTGGGGGAAGAGCTCGAAATTTGAAGGAAAAAATTTCTTCAGTAAAGCGAGCTTTTACGTCGATAGGTTGTCGAAGACGCAAGCCATTTCTTCTCTAAAATGCCGCTAATTCATGGAAACACGAAAAACATTATTGGAAAAAATTATTACCCAACAATTAATGCCGTTTGAAGCGATGCAACTGCAAAGCCGTAAAGATTTGAATAATTTTGACTTTGTTTTTATTCGGCGGTATTTTGAACAATGTCCCCCAAAAGAAAGCGAGGAGGTTCTTGAAAAAATACGAAAAAAGTGAACAGACATTGGCAATCAAAGCGTATCAGTTGCATTTGTGGCATTAATTAGTAGTTGAAAAGTAAAGCTCCCACGGGTTATTTCGAGAGAATTTTTTTAATTTTCAAATTTTAAACTTGACCTCGCAAAACTTTTCAAATAAGAAAATATGAGGTACTTTCGATGCCGCCATTGCTCTATTCTCCATTTATGGCTTCCAGTAATCATTCTACATCTTAAGTTCAAAAAGTTATCCCAAGGGAAGGATTTTCAACATAACTAGATATGACAGCTAACGAGTCAGTGTTTCTCAAACTGCTTTGGCAATAGTGAACAATATCAAAGCACGACACCTTGAAAAATATGAAATGAATCTTGAATATTTTCAGAAAAATTTGTTGATCGAAAAACACATACTTCAGCTTATCTTTTTTTAAATATATTTTTCTAAAAACAGGTTTCGAGTGTTCTGCCATAGATTATGTAATCACAGCAACTTTGGTAATCTCATTTTGTGTTGCATTATGTTTTCTTCAGCTATGCTTGCCGCCGAAAATCCTTTAAAAGCAGAAGCAAGCCGAAATCTTGTAAGTACAATCACACCTGAATGCCATTTATTATTTTAATCAGAAGGATTAATTTAGATGAGATATATTATATTATAGGTGAAGTTAAACCAAAGGTTAGTTTGATAATTTAAAAGAGTTTGAAGCTTAACTTTTAGTTAAAGTCATTGGTCATTGTTCATCGTTAACTACACATTTTTCTCATCTTTTTCGGCAAAATATGAATTCTGTACCGAAAGAACAATAAATCAGAGAAGCCTACCTGCGCAAACACCAATTTCATAAGAATTGAGTCATTGCTCATATGGCAGCCAATAAGTCATTGGTCGCAACACTTGTTAGACAAAAGTAGAAATACATTCTTTAAAAAGGCGATGGCACGAAGCATTAAATTTTAAAGCTTCGCAGTTCGAATCTGGATCAAATGAATATCAAAGTGCCGAATACGCAAACCATTGTTACATATTCCGCTTGGTTTTGCTCAAATACGATTTTCTTAGAATCATTCTCTTGACGGTTGAATCAACTTCTAATTGAAGAGATTAATATGAGTGTAAAATAGTTTCCGACGTTTGATAAAAGATGGTCCCACCAGAACATTTCAATGAAATTGTCAGATGCAATGTTGTAAGTTTGGCTATCTGGCGACAACATAACCTTAAAGTATTAGTGATGCCGTATTACCAGCACATCATTTTTTCGCGCGTAAATATCAAGTTTACTTTTGACGCTGAGGCGCATCGATTCGATGGAGAAGCGTATGATGAGGCTGTTTTAAGCGAGAGCAGTGTTCTTGAGTGGTTTCAAAAGTTTAAAAACAGTAAATTTGGCTTGGAAGACAAAGAACGCATAGGAAGTTCGAAAGGAAGATTTGTCCCAAACGCGAAAAGAACTTGCACTTACATTAGAAGTGGCGCAACAAGCGTTCCTTCATCGTTTAAAATCCTCAAAAACAAAGAAATTGGGCTGCGTACGAAACGATGCCGAAGATCAACTTGTGTCGTTATCATGAGTTGCTCAAACCGAGCGAAACGATTAGTGTGGCTCTTTATAAAATACAATTAATGGTAATGAGCCGAGCACTTAAGGAAACACGCCAAATATTTCCCCAGATACCAAAAAATTATTCTCCTAATTGATAATACTCGTCCACATATCGAAACCTATATGGAAACATTTAATTTAGAAGACCTATCCTATTTGCCGTATTCACGGAATATCATCGCTGCCGTTTATCACTTGTTCCGGTCGACGGCAGATGATCACTCTGAGTAGATGTTTACGTTTTACTAAGATTGGGTCGATTCGTTGAAGAGTTCTTTCGGCATGATATCCGAATGCTGTTGGAAAGATGAGAAAAAGTAGTGGCTGGTGATGGACACTGCTTTTCTTTTACAATAAATTCCGACATAAAGTTATTTACACTCCTAATCAATCTACTATTTTACTTGTTGAGTTTAGCTGTGAGTGTGTGTGTGTGTGTATGTGCAAAAAGATAAAGCATTTTATGTAAAATGGAAAAGTTAATTTTGTGCTTTTTTTTTGCAGGTGCTTAACAAGTTTGATTACTTTTTTACGGCCGTTTTCACAGTTGAACTGTTGCTCAAGTTGATCGCATACGGTTTTGTATTACACGATGGTGCCTTTTGTCGGTCAGCGTTTAATCTCTTGGATTTGCTGGTAGTTTGTGTTAGTCTCGTGTCAATTGGCTTCAGGTTTGTTTCTTTGTTTGTTTTTTCTTTTGAAAAAGCAAAATGTAATTAAATTTGTTTTTTTTTACTGTCTCTCCTTCAACATTCAACTATACAGTTCAAATGCGATTTCAGTCGTGAAAATTTTACGCGTACTAAGAGTTTTAAGGCCTTTACGTGCAATTAATCGAGCAAAAGGCCTAAAGGTGCGTATAACTCTAATTATCAATTCAAAAAAAAATTTCTGTTATATTTTTTTTTAATTTTTTAATTTTTTAATTTATGCCTTGGCTGATAACATTTTTATTTTCCTTTCTAATTCACATTTGTATTGTACGGCTTAAGCGGATAACAATTCTGCTCGAAGAAAAAACTCATTTTTTTTAATCTTCATGATGGCATAACCCACTCTGGCCATGATGAAAACAAAATATATGAAGCTTATGAAGATTTGCACTTAAAAATGCTGGATACTTATTATAAACAATTTAAAAAATTGCTCATTATTTACGATATGTTATAATCCACGGAATGAATTGAAAATTTTCATCTCTTCAAGAGAGCTTTCAGTTAATTGCTAGCCTTTAATTTGAATTTCAACGTTTACGCTGTGGACCATTATTAAGAGACAGTATTAAGAGACCCTTACAAGTTTTTAGAGTTTGTCTTATTGTTATTCAAATATCACTTTTTATAATTCTTTCTAATCGTTAGCTTTTCCGGTATCAGCGAATTTTGTCTAATAAGATTCAATGGTATCTTTATATTCTTCAATTTTCTTGAAAATTTATTTCGTTTTTTAAGGAGAGTTGAACAATTTGAAAATTCTTAATTATGATTAAAGTACAATTTGTTTAGTCAAAACGATATTTTAAACCTTATAATGTATATTGTAGCATGTAGTACAATGCGTTATAGTCGCGGTAAAGACCATCGGAAATATTGTTTTGGTCACATGCCTATTGCAGTTCATGTTCGCTGTTATAGGAGTTCAATTGTTTAAGGTATGATTCTAAGTTGTTAATAAAAAATGTACAGAAATTTTTAAGTATTTTTAAGAATTTGTAATATAAAGCCCGAAACAGCACAAAAGAGTTTAATAGATGTTTAATTAATTATTTATTTATTTATTTTTTATTTTTTTTTTTTGAATTTATATATCAACCAAATGAAAGAGAAAATGCTTGCAATGAAAGGTCCTTCGAGATTGGGGGATCTATTGCAGAAGACACCGTGAAGGGACTTTCTTTTTTTTTTGGTTGATGGCAGTAGACAATGTTGGAGTGGTAGTGTAGTAAAGGGATAACTGAACGATTGAAAAAGAAATATAAGGGGAGCGTAAAACAGTGTTTTTAATTGATTATGTTGTAGTGCTGGTGGACAGATCTCTTGTAAGCTTTTTGTGAGCAAAAAAACACGGAAAGCAAAGGTGTTCCTAGTTTTCATTGTGTAGGCGTTTTGTCGTTGTAGCCGCGTCTTTTGAACGGTAAGGTCATTACCAGATTCTTTTAAAAGTTTCTGATTGTTTCACTGTTGCAAAGAGGCCCCTTGGGAAGACAGACAGTTAAAGAGAGACGGACAGATGAACAAGATAATGCACGCTTTTTGGGGATTTTCAAACTTGTTTCTGTGCGTTATAAAGGTTATAAACGTTTTGAGAAAATTTTAAATTTTGGGTTACTATAACATTGAGTAGGCGGGGTCCATTTTTTCTATTTTTCTACAAATACCACAGATGCATACGCTTTCAATCTTTTATAATTTTATCTGTTTTAGTTTGGGAGTAATGCTCAAAAAATCAATCTTTCATTTTTTTTGGAAAACAGAGTTACTTTCCGTTGAGTGGTGAACTAGGTGTGTCGTTCGACCAATGTGGCCCATTAATACCAACCTGCATACAGTAACTTTCAATGTTTTAGGAAATCTGGAAGGCGATAGCTGCATTCTTGCAGCCAAGAGGGGTCCGTAGCTTCTTTGCTGGCATTGCAAACGCTTCGACAGAATGAATATACCCGTCATCCTTTAATGATGGATATAATAAGAGTGTCGGGCATATTTTTGCTATAGAAAATATCAGAATTTGAGCTTTAAAATAAGTGCTTGAGGCAATCGTAGTTTCTCTTTATTAGTCAATGCTTTGTTGACTATTGGAAGGGTCTTCGACGGTACTTGAAGATACTTTGTTACAACAGTTATTGTGTGAAACAATCACTTTTTCAAGGTTACCACCATTAACTGATAACATTAATCTATCATAATGACATCATAGAGTGGCAATCTTCTCCAGGATGTTGCACACGTTAGTAACATTGAACTAAAGTATGCTAAGATTTCTCTTGTATCCGCTACATATGCCTTGTTTTGATTCATGTACTCTTTGTTGCAAACCATGTACACTTTTGTATGTCCTTACGGGTCATTTTTGAGGTTGAGTGACAATCGTATAACCGAAAATATGTCAAGCTATTCATTGTTCTAATTCCACATTCATTCCAAGAGTTTGGAGACAGCGTGCACTAATTGAAGGATAAATTCCCTTAAAAAGTAAAGCAAGGTTTTGGATAGAACAGGTGGATGATATATAATATAAATTTCGGTATAAGCCGAATAGAAATAGAAATGTTTATATTGTTTACTGTTAATATCATTATATTTAAATACATTTAGAATTAATTTTTTTTTTTTTTAATTTTTTTATGTTTGTCACTATAAAGCTTTTGAGATTATCGTTATCCGTATCACTTTTCAGAGCTAGTTTTTTTGAAAATCTGCCAAATATACAAAGATTAAGTAAGAAGTGATTATGAACATTTTTTATGCAAACCTATATTCATAGGACATTTTGATAGAAATCAGTATCCTAGAATTTTCCCGAAACTTTTATTTCCTCCTAGACTAATGTGCTTCAATTTCCTGAGATTTACAGATATTGGCATCCGAGTCTACAGAAGCGGTTTCAGCGCATTGTTTGAATTTCCAAAAACAATCCCTTAGACGTAAGACATTTGCTGTACAAATAACATAACAGTCATCTCGCCACTATCTTTGATCGAAAGAATAGTTACTATTGGTTCGTGGGAAAATCTCTGATACTCGTTACTTAAAGCCTATGCAAGAACTGGAAAATACTTTGTTAAATTGGGACGTGTTTTTTTACCGAATGGCCTAAGTGGCTTGAAAAAACTACAGGGCTTTACAAGATTTCTTACAGTCTGTGAACCATTCTGGCCTATTGTGGCCTTTGTTTGATCGCCGTTTTAGAGAGTCCTTATAAATTTTTGAGACGACTACCTCCTAGGATTTGTAAGATACCATTTTTTCTCTACTCTGGGCGTCGTTATGACAATTCGCCTTTTTTTGGAACTTTATTTGAGGCAATCACTTAAGAGTGTATACCAGATGTAAAAAGTCGTGCTGTGTTTTTTTGCTTTTATTTGCTTTGTTTTTATTTTTTTGTGATCACTGGTCAGGGCATATCCTTTGTACGTAAATGAAAACGTTGATGCTGTGGGGGAAAGAGCAGTGGAAGTGGGATAGGGTGCGAGGAGAAATATGATCATTCATAAAGCATTGTATTTTCACCCAACAAGAATTCATTTAGCCACTCACCAATGCCATCTGAGATCTACTACACTGGGAATTAAACTTGGGAGCACCGCGCTTTCGCTTAACTGAGAGATATGCGCTTATTTCAAGCAAATGATCGAAAGTAAATTATTCGAAGTTTTGTCCATCGGCTGCTAGAGTTTTTTTCCCCCATCTTTCGCGCCGAAAGACTATTTTTTTCAGCTTAGCCGCGTAAGGATCCATTCATAAGTAGGTGGACTATAAATGATCGACTGAAATCGTCCTTAACCATAGAGAGTTATATTTTTGTGAGTAGCATATTCTAGTTCAATGCTGCTAACGTGTTCTATGCGGCTTTCATCGCGTACTTATAATGACGTCTTCCACGTTACGCACATTTCTCGCCTAATTATCACTTCGGTTGATTTCGGTAGAGTCTCGCGGTGATTGCCCTGATGCAGCTGCACTTAACTGATCCCCCTGTTCGGCTTATGGATGCTATGGATGTTGGACTAACGACCAGCGCCATAGTTTTCCTATTTTAAACATAGCATCACACCCACTTTTCGTTACCCGTAATAATTCAGCAGCATTTTCGTCCCAATTAAACACGGAAAGTTAAGTTTGGCCTATTTTTGACACAAAAAAATTGTTGTTTAAAAATGTCATAATCTATTACTTATGTATTTTGTTTATTTACTTATTAATGCTTATGTAACCTCAAAGCCCTTAAGGCCTGCTATAATAGATTACAATGTTTACCATAGGATGTACAGTTCAGCGAAATAACTTGGACTTTAAAGTTAGAGATAATACTTTCGCGCGATGAGGTTACAGTTGCACATGTGTTCGCAGGGAAACTAAAGCCATATATTAGAAAAACTCTTAATATATCGTATTCCAAATTGATCTCGATTTTTGTTATTGTAAACGTTCTGAAAACAGACGAAAAGCAAATGGATGGACAAATAAACGGATGGACGAACCGTATTGATGATACATGAAGCATATTCCTGGGTGCTACAAAATAAAAGACAGATAGCAGCTTTGGTTCAAGCTGAGTATAAAAATCAGAAGCTGATGGCTGTTATACGTAAAATATTCAACACACTGGGGTAAAAAATAAGAAACATTTGGTTAGAGTCGTTCTAAAAACTTAAAATTCATTTTAATTTGACTTTTACCTAATACCCTTTGGAGGAATGATTAAAGAGAAGATGTGAGAAGATCGTTTTTCATGCTTGAAATGTAGCGAGAAAAGACTTAGTTTTTATGTACAAAATTTTATGTAAATGATTATTGCAGTAAGCATGTATATATATATATATATATATTTATATATGTATTTTGTCACCATTTATATATGTATATACGAAGTTTAGAAATAAGTGTAATTCAAATGCTGATTTCATTTAACCCCTTGTGGTAGATTCTTGTATTGTTGTAAAGCGTAAATTTTATTTAAACTCAATTTTTTTGTTCAAAAAGTTTTGTCTGATTTTTCATAATTTTGTGAGGATTAGTTTATTTACCTTCTGGTACGTACGGAAAGCATTATATGTATGTATGCTTATGTTTGTGTGTATGTGTGTGTGTTTGTACAGCAAATATGAATGCCACAAATACTTTTTGTAATATCTTGAGCTCCGTTGTAGGGAATGATTTCCACTTTCCGTCCATTTAGTTTTTTTTTTTAATTAATTACTTTTGATAAACAATTATTTGAATGATATAAAAATTGTAGAAGATTTCATTTCAAACGAGAGATATTATGTTCGTGTTCGGAGTGAATCTTTCGTCTTTCATCGTTTTCCCACTAACATTACGCATTATATTGTACCATCTAATAAATCGAAAATTAACTGTAAATTTATGTTTGTAGAGTAATCCATGTCATCCCTGTATGCTATATATCCTTCTCGTTCTATTACTTTATACGCATCACTACTATATTAAAAGCTTTCATACGAATAAAATAAAAAGCTTTTGCTTTATCTGACTATCTTTGCAACTTTCTAAGATAGTATTTGTTATAATAAAGTTCATAATGGGAAAATGTGTTATGTGCAAGAAGTATCCGGAATAGTTAACAAAACAAAGGTTTTTGCTATTTTTGCTTTATTACCAGGAATTGACGCAGTGCTCTGTCATCAACTGACATTTGCTGTAACTTGAATTAAACTTCACTTCTCGGAAATTGTGATATCAGTTTCGATAACAAAAAGGAAGAGTCACAGGAGTAGGAGAAACACAACGGTCACAGCTCTGAATCGCGATTATCAAGTCGCTGTTCGTTGTACGCGGGTTCGAATCTCAAGCACGATTTTGTTTGCTTAGGGTAGACGGAAAGCGCAAGAGCCAAATGTGCGCTAAAACCACAAAGGTGGTAGTTTTGGTGCTACCAGCTGTGAAAAGTATTTTTTCAGGAGGTGTAGGGGTGGGTCACGGTTTTAAGCCGTAGCTAGGTTGACCTCTACTTTACTTTGTCAATGTCCGTGTAAGAGAAGAAAGCGTTTTGCAATATGAGTTGCAATTCTCTCAATCACTTTTTAACTATTCACATGAACAGCCGGAGAGGCAACTGTGCTGTTCGCGGGATCAGTGCTGTAAAATTTACTTAGGCCATAGCTGCAGTGAATGCTTAAAGGTCTAATACTTGGGTGCACTCTAACTGATTGGGTGCACTTGCACTAGGCTACTTTCACGACCACTGTTTATCTTTGTCTTTCCTCGATTCTTTCTGATCGTTATCGCGATACACTAATTGCCAAAATTCTCTGAGAAAGCAAGAATGTCACAACCGGGGAAGGCTTCTCACTGTCTGAACTTAATGACTTTATAAAAAAGTAGAAATTATTGTCATGCAAATATTTACTTTTTAGAAAAATTTTCATATGGATTGGGAGTAGACGGTCAAGACCAAAAAATACACGTATAGAGTTCAAAGCGCTTAATTTTGATTTGAAAATACTTACCCTTTATCTATTTTCGCTTTGCCTATAAGCACTTTTTCTCGTCAAAGGCGTGGGAAAGGAACCCTTAATAACGGATTGTTGCAATTTAATCTTTTCTTTTTAATTGAAGAGCCGTTTACTCTTCATATAGTTTTATCATTCATCTCGGCTTTTGTATAGGGCTTTTTGGTCATATTATGATTTCAAACAACTTATCATTCTACATCTAGATCTGTTATGGAGTACCAAAAACTGAACTGTAACGTCGTAAAATATCTTTGTTTTAATATGAGCGGTAGCCCGAAAATTGAACCCATCTAACGTGGTCTAGAGTTTCGAATAATTTTATTTTCTTTTTTCTTTTACATACATAAATCCAAGTAGAACAGTAAATAGAAAGAAGCTTTAGGATACGCATCGTAGCTTGTCGTCGTATTGTGTTTACGTTGTCATATCAAGTTGTCTCTATGCATTATGAAAATACAAGTAATAATTTTAGTTAAACTAAAGCGTTAGTACTTAAGAGAATGAATTAATTGAATGAAGATATATTCGTTGACCTTCTAAAAGCTCTAGACTTTTTAGACAACTTAATGTATGTTATAGTTAATTGCATTAATTTTTATATGAATTTTTTTTATGATTCGTTTTTATTTTTGTTATTTTCTTTCTATGTCAGTCTTGTACCACACATATTTAGCCTCTAGACAGTGAAACAATTGTTGTAATTAATTGAATAAACCATATTTTTTCTTTCTTCCTCTCTTTTCAATAAACACATATTGTGAACTTACAATTTACACATTGATTAACTAATGCCGCCACTTGCACTATGTCACTTCATTTATTCGCCTTACACACATACGTGCGCACACACACACACACACACACACACACACACACACACACAAACAAACATACGCGTACAAAAACATAAACAATTTTTCATAACTTTTATGTAATTTCATGTTGTGTTGTTGTAAATTGAAAACTCGTCTCCTAACTATTCAGTATGTTGTCAAATGTGTTGTGGTAGCAATCAAAACAATTGGCAACATAATGCTCGTCACCTATTTGTTGCAGTTCATGTTTGCTGTTATTGGAGTACAACTTTTCAAGGTAATTAAAATTTTCTCTTTCTGTTTTTTTTTTTTGTCTAATTAAACACCATTTTGAATGCATGGTTGTTATAAAATAAATAAAGTTTGTAATTATTGCTTACACTTACCACATGCGAAGTATATTAACTTGTGTCGAATGTTTGCAATGCTAAGAAATATGTGTGAGCTAATAAAATTTCCTAATAGAAGTTTTTTTTTTGACTGGTCAGCTCGACAAATCTTTTCAAAAGGCTGAAGTGAGGAAAGCAATCCTCGCCAGAGCAAATTGATTTTATTTACTTTTTAAAGTGACGACAGTTTTCATCTCTTGTTAGGACATCGGTGATGTTAGTTAGTAAGTCCCTGCGTTGTTAGTGATCTCTATAAAGAAGAGAAATGATTTTGCTTGCGATCAAACAAAACGTATAATGATAGTAGAATTTATGTTAAGCCCAGATCTTTTAATTCATTTTATCTGCCTTCTTTTCATAAGATATCGCGAAATCTTTGCGTAAACAAATATTGCTTTTGGAGGGACTTTATGGTTTCCTTTCATGAAAGGGTGCGATTTATATAGAAGTACGGACGGCTTTGTCTTCCTTGAGTTGCATAATTTCTTCAGGCAGTCGTGTTTGAGTTGATAGCCGATATCTCTCTCTGGCTCTGTAGAGGACCATACTGCACTGCTTCGCAGTTCTTCCTTCTGGATAGTAGTAATGTTTGCTTTTCGTCTATTCGTTATCCGGTTCTTAGAAAACATTACCTGAAATTTTTTTCCCTTCAAGTTAATGTTACATTTTAAGACATTTACTTTTGAATGTCGGATTTAATATATTGATAAGAAAGATGAAATCAGAAGAAACATAGAAATGTTTGTAACTTTTAGCGTTGGGTCTGGTGTCTGTGTCTCTTTCGCAATTTTCCGAAGACAAAACCACTACGTTCTCCAGGTTCCAGCGATTATTATATCGTTCGGCATTAGCTATGCATGCTTTGAATCCCCAGGTGAACGACTTTCGCCAGTTTTATTGCTCGTCAGCAATTAAATGTGGTTTCGAATGGCGGCCATGGCACGACAATGGAAAGGCTAAAATAGTTTTTCTACCACTACCGATTTCCTGCCCTCTTTTGATTTGAAATCGAAACTTTCTTAGTGAGTAAGGCTTTAAAACGGAGAACGGACTCTCTCTTAGTTCATCTACACTGACAGGAGTTACACGAGATAATCATAAACTCATTTGATAGCTGTCTTGAAAGTGTTTTGCGTCGAAGTACATCGTACATTGTACATCGGTATATCGTATTATGTGAAAAGCATAAGAAAAATGGATTAGGCTGAGAAACAAACTCTGCTTGCGTCAAGGAAGTTGTATTCCCCTATTAGGTATTTTATTTATTGGTGTCATTTCTGCAGGTTAAAGCAAACATGTTCTTGGGAAGAGGTCACGGCATCATACAACGGCTTATCATGTTAATTACACCTTTCCTTGAACGTTACAACCTAAGTTACGCATAGATTATTTAATTGTCGAGCTGTTTGGATATATTTTTCTCTGACGGCGTGACGAGTATCCTTACCATGCGATCATACCTGCACGCCGTTCATTTTCGAATTGAAATCGTGAGGGTTCCTTTAATTGAATTTAAAAGAATTTAGCTAATAGCTCTCGTTCGGGAAAGGCCTTTTCTCTGGATCGCGCTTTAAGAGTAAGGCTTATTCTATTATTAAAACCTTTGTTTCCATAAAAATTACAAAATAATTGACGTTACTTTCTGATAACTCCAATAATACTTCTTTCTCCCAGCTAAATCTCTCTTTGGAGACGAAATATTAGGATAGTTAAGTTAGGATAGTTAAATGGAATGGTTTTTACATTCAATGTAGCCAATGAAGCGTTTAATTTAACCAACCTTTAGGATATTATTATTCAAAAATTATTAATAATTATTGCCTATAAAAAAAAAACCAAAAATATTTTTCCTTTTAATTAAGTTGAAGTGCGTTGGCAAAAGCATACCGTATTTCTTGCTGTTACTTACAAAATGACAAAGCTAATATGTCTACGTTTTTTAGTGGTAAGATTTAAAATAAAATATTATAAAACAATTGAGTTTAACTATTTAATTAAAAAAGAAAATTTACAAAATTTAAAACATGAATAAATCAACGGCTTTATAAACAAAATACATGGACTGCATTTAGTTTAGCTATTATTGCATTTTCTTTTTCTCTTATGTTGTTTATGTGGTTAACAAATGACTGATAACCAGACGCTTAGCTAACTGGTGATGCATTTTAACAAATATTGACTAGTAATTATTTTATTTTAATAAATAATGTCCTAATTCATTTTCATTTTTTTTTTTTTTTTTTAGTACTTTATTTATTTATTTATTTATTCATTTATTTTTTTTTTTTTTTAGTATTTTCCTACAACTGCACATAGCTTTTTCTATATTTTTGTTGCACTTGCTTATTTGAAATTTGTGTTCGCCTTAGGATGAATGTTGAACACTTAATCATCTAATATCAACACCTATACGAAAATGCTTTAGTCGAGTGTTCATAAACGTTCTTGTTGAAAAAAATATCTAGGAAACTTCATAGATAATTATCCTAAAATTTGAGACTATTGTCTCTGTTATAGTTATAGTTACTTAGTTACGGGTTCTTAGTCGCAACTTAAAAAAATGTTCCTTCTTTTGCATTTTCAACTTTCAAGCTACCATGTGCGTGCTGTTCATGTGCCCATGGTTTTATGTATACAATAACATACAACCAATAGACAGGGATACCTATATATATATATATATGTATATATATATAACGTACGTGTATGCATACATGTTATGATGATATATTTACAAGGGCTTTTGATCAAGCCAATGTATTCATTTCGGTGATGGGTGAAGGGAAAACAGAAGATACACTATGCACTTCTCATTATAATTCAATTTGTTTAAATTAATATTTTCCTTAGCATAATGATTTAATTATTAAAAAAAAAAAAAAAAAAAAAAAATCTCTTTTGCTTGCTGAATGTGCTTAAAAAAAAAAAAACTTATTATTATAATTGTGTATTCGCAATAATAATATTATCTATTAGATTAAAAAGTTTTATGATTAATTTCAATTATCATATTTTGTCTTTATTTGAACTCCATTACACTTGCCTTCTCTTACAATTAATTCCTCGTCAAAAAACAAGGGAAAATTTTTTCAATGCACAGATGGATCCAAAATGTATGAACGAGATTGTCAGTAAGTATTATAAAAACAATGCATAATTGATAGATGAATAAATTATACGAATTAATTTTATATAATTCTTACTATTAAAGTGTCTGCAATCTTATTGGTACTTTTTTATAAACTTGTAATTTGTATATAGAATGACTTTTTTTTTTATATCCATCAGCGAACGAGGGCTGTAAACTAGTTTTGTGCTTTCATTTGTAACACTTACAAATAGGAATCAGAGTAACACATAAGAGTTATGCATAAGCGTAAGATTGTGGATTTATCAGAGAATCCATGTGCCTTATGAGTCCTTATATAAAACCTGAGTTCGACAGTTGAAACTGGGCATACAGTCGTCCTTCGTATAACACGGTATTTATAAGACAACGTTTCGATGCAACACGGTGCAATATTTGCGATCGCACGGTCTTGATAAAACAACAACTCGAATATATATAGCGATGGATTTTTTTTTTTTTTCAAATGCTTTTCACTTTTACCATACCCAGCACTGTAAGATGGGTGTATACTTGTTTAGTTTTTTTCCATATGTGTATAGCACCCAAACGGGAGCTTCAGAGACCCTATAAAGTACATATATTCTTGATCACTACGAAATTCTGAGTTGATTGCACCATGTCTGTCCGTCTGTGTTTGTTCCTTCTGTTCGCAAAAATGAAACTATCGACTTAAAATTTGGTAGAAACATTGAATGTTTTTGCACGCAGGTTGGTATTAAAAATAGGACAAATCGGTCGGAGCAGAAGTCCTCAGTGTAGCGTAAACTGAACCCAACTCAGTTTTTTTTTTAATCAAAAATTTGTGGATTTTTGCTCGTTACTTGGAATGTATAAAGGTTAGAAAGCAGAGATTTTCCACAAGTGAATAAATTTTCTTCACTTTCACATTTATCATAAGTCAAAGAAGACCGCATGTATAAAAGTTTTAATAGACTCCTTAAATGAAGATATATTATCTGCGTAAGAATGGGTTAATTTTAAAGCAAATATGATAGGCAACGCGATTACTTTTTTCTTAATAATACTAGCGATCTGGGTATCAAATGAAAGAACTTGGAGAGTAGAACGCAAAAAATATAGTGATGGGTATGTGAGATTCGGGCCCCGCCGAGTATGCTTACTTGTTTTTATTTTACCGTTAATTTGTTTGGTTTCGTTCAACATTTCGTTAAACAATTGAAATGCACACGACTGTAAACTTGTTGATATTATTTGATAGATTGTTGTGATAACCCTTCAAATCCCTTTTTAATCTTTTCCAAAAAATTTTTTATTAACTTTTTTGCCGCAATACCCTTTTAAGTTATAGGCCCGAAAAGACATTGAAATGATATAACACAAGCACAATACGGAATAACATGATATGCATTGCTTTATATCTAAGTTGAAATTATGTTATTCCCTGTTATAGCCAAGTTGAAAATGAGTAAAACCACGGTACGAGCTAGCCGTGTTATAGGAGGGACGCCTGTACATGCTTTCATTTATTGACTATTCATACTCAGTAAACAATACAATAGCAAAAAAAAACCGCATTTACAATTCATTCCAAAACAGAAATGAAATATTTATCCGAATCATCTAACATTTTGATACGAGATTGATGCAAAAATGATTTCTACCGGTCAAGTAATAGATATAGTTTGCAATCTTTATACTAATCGGCAAAGTTTATAGAAAGTAATTTTTTTATACCCCCCACCGAAAGTTGTGAGTGCATTTATTTTGTGCAAATGTTTGCAATATCGAGAAAAGAGCTTCAGAGGATATATATTTAATTCTGAATCGATCTTGCCATAATCTGTCTGTCTGGGTGTTTGTGTGAATATGTGTTGTTGACAAACCCTTGCACACAAAAATGAAGTTATCGGCTTGATGTGGTTTATTGCTCATTAAAACACATTTTTTGCTCAACTAAAACACATGAAACCATAGAAACTCCTACGTATGTTCTATGGGTGATTGTGCAGTACTTGCACAAAAAAGGAATCAATTGACCCCGCCCATATAGAGTAGATAGTTGAAATTTAACTATTTTGTTAAAATGTCTACAATATGCAGAGGAAAGGCGCTACATAGGCCCTACAAAGTGTATATATTCTTGACCAGTATCAAATATATATACCCCGCCGTCTCTCTCTCTCTATGGATGTCTGATCACAAAAATTAAGATATCAGTTTCATTTGAACGACAACGAAACATTGAAAGGTAGGCAGGTTTGAAACTGAACGAAATTCATCAAAGAATCCGCCCACAAGGCATAATAAACCGAAAATAACTCTCTTTTCAACAGGAAAAAAATTCGCTTTATGTTCAGCGCTCAGAAGATACAACAAAAAAAAAATTTCTATATTAAATGTCGTTATATATAGAAAATGTGGCTACAATCCAATACAAGTTTGTTTCGTTCTGTTACTTAGCTTTAGACTTACAAATTAAGGATCAAATAACTTACATATACTTCTTCAATTTAAGGCCATCACACTTTTTGCCTTTTGTTATTGATTGAGACTCACTTGCACTTACACATATGTTTTTAAATTCATTTCACCAAATAACGTTTCAGAAATTTTCTTGAAATGCTTAACATATTCAAGCACGCTTACACTGGGTTGATGACTGTCATATCGTCATTTCTTTACATGGCTTCCGGCATAGCATTTTAAATAAACTTTGGAAAACGAAACAAATATTGATATGAAAATTTATTAACATTTGATTTTTCTTTCTTATAATCAATTATTGCCTTGAAACTCAAATAAAGTGGAACTTATCTTATTTATGAGAATGGTGACGTCAACAAGCCGCGTTTAAAATTAAGAGAATGGAAAAACAATCGTTTCCATTTCGACGATGTTGCGAAGGCTATGTTAAGTCTCTTTACAGTCAGCACTTTTGAAGGTTGGCCGGCCTTACTATATGTTTCAATTGATTCAAATAAAGAAAACGGTGGACCTATACATAATTTTCGACCGATCGTTGCCGCCTATTATATCGTTTATATAATCATTATTGCCTTTTTCATGGTCAATATATTTGTTGGTTTCGTGATTGTTACCTTTCAAAACGAAGGCGAACAAGAGTATAAAGACATCGAGTTGGATAAGAATCAACGCAATTGTATCGAGTTTGCTTTGAAAGCGAAACCCATACGTCGTTATATACCGAAAAATGGCACTCAATATAAAGTATGGTGGTTTGTGACTTCGTCCTCATTTGAATATTCAATATTTGTGCTAATTATGATCAACACTGTGACATTGGCAATGAAATTCCATAAGCAGCCAAAGTTTTATACGGAATTACTCGATGCTTTAAATATGTTATTTACAGCGGTTTTTGCTTTAGAGTTTGTATTCAAATTGGCAGCGTTTCGTTTTAAGGTGAGTGAACAAACATCCTTAGGCACGTAGAACAACGAGGCAAAACGGATTTTTTAAAATCAATATTTACATAGCGCATTTGACAGAACATATATGCATATACAGATGTAAACTTGTATAAAAGTATACTGAGGAAAAATGGACATTTTCATTTTATTTAGCCATCAATAGGTGGCGCCACTACAATGTGCTATTTTGAAAGTGTCCAGCCTAGTTTGAAATCGAACCTTTTTTTTTTACCAATTCTTGGGCTTATTGGGCTTCTATGTCTTTTATTTAATTTCAGAATTATTTTGGCGATGCTTGGAATACATTTGATTTTGTAATCGTCTTGGGAAGTTTTATTGATATCGTTTATAGCGAAATAAAGGTAAGGGGCGAACAATCCACAAACACTAAGATTTATTATAAATTTGAGAAAAAAATTTGCATGAGACTAAGTTAATAGAAATCAGCAAAAAGTTTTAGGTGAGCTTTGGATACTCTTTGCCTACAGCCAATGTAAGACAACTGCGTTTCCTCTTCTATTACCTACACCAGTATCATAGCTTACACCAGTTGTGGTACAAAAGGAACGTTAAGTTTGTGCGGATATGCGTAATACTCAGAAGAACCTGAGATAGACCCATTTTTTATTCTACCGATCGATTCAAAATCACTCTCTTAATCATTGCAAGCTTATCTGTCCACTTGCCCGTCTGTGTTTTTTGGACCAAATATGAACGCTATGGAAAATGGTTCGGATCGGACCATATTTTTGAACGCCTGCCTTGCCACGCATCGTTTAAAATACCTGTAGGATGCGATTCGGTATTTAATGGTGGACCGGGACCCACTGCAGTGATTTTTATAGCGATCTTAGCAGTCGCAAGAATCTTCACGAAAGCAGAATGACAAACAGATTATTAAACGTGGCTAAAATGATTCTCATCTAGCGATGACGAGTTTAGTCAAGTACAACGTTTTCGGCCTCCCTATAACTTTCACTCTTTGGGAATGATTCTCTGTTGATCATTAATCACAAAAATGAGAATTATTGTTGAATTAATTATTCAATCTTCCAACTTCAGAATGTGAAATAATAAAGAAGCCTTAAAAAAATAAAAGATAAAAAAATTCGAATGATTTTAACCTTATAAATAATCTAAATTAAAAAATAAGAACATTTTAGTCGGGCAAGGTTAGCTGTTATACCACTTCGCCCAATCCTATTCATTCAATTCAGTGGGCGAAAAAATGGACTGATCTAAACCATTTTTGTTAGCGTTTATTCTTGAATCAAAGCATGTCAGTGTATCAGACATTGATTTAGAAAGTGATTTTTGGCCTTGGCTGGTGAATAACAGTATTTTGGCATACTAACAGTTCGTGAAAAATTTGGGTAGGAGGGAATTTTTATGTCCCTTTGCAATGCTGTACAATAGAATAGATTGCCTAATTGTATCTCATGAAGACGACGATGCCGAGGAGCACTTATGAGGAAAAAATTGCTCACCATGATGGTGATGGCTTTTCAGCGACAGTATGGAAAGGCAACAAGATTGTTACTTTGTTGTTCACTTAGTGCAAGAATCTAATATGCACATGGAAGTCATGGACTTGCTGGATAGCTACTTAGGTTACTGTCGTATAAGAGTCAAAGGCCGCAAATTCACCTATTCTATCGGTTGTTGGATCTTGCCGTAATAAATTCTAAAGCTCATCCCCAACGAACAACTGCCAAATCTTGATGAGTTCCGCATTGATTTGGCTGATGCTCTTTGCAATGTGGGATCTCATATAAACGGCAATAAAAGATATTGGCCTACTAATGGCAATTTAGAGCAAACTTTACAGGCAAAAAAACCTAGAGGGTCATTCCATCGTTTTACGAAACGACGGCGTTGGTCATTGGCCTATATGTTCAAACAGATTGAGATGTAAAATTCCACTATGCTGGGGTACCATGCAGTGGTCATGTAGCAAATGCAATGTTCCTTTATGTTCAAATGCTAAAAATAGTTATGTTGTGGATTTTCTTGTTTTGTAGAGTAATGGTAAGTATTATGTTATCACACGACGTAAATTTGTAGAACTCATGGACCGATTATGCTTGACGATGTAGAAATGCATCAATATGTTTTTGTTGAAAATTAAAAAAAACATGTTTTTTTTTATAGTTTTCCCGTTAGCTATACGAATTTTTCGGTTGATTTCAATTTTGTTAATAAAAATTCACGCATTTAAGGGTTACTTGGGTTCTTAAGATGTTTATTGAAAGGCGTATCAATTTAATTGCGATTATCGTGATTTGTCTTGCAAATTTTTCGTTTCTTCTCTTTTAACATAATGAAAATAGTTTTTCTTTACAGAGCAAAGAAGAGCTACTTTCGGCATCTTGTGATTTAACGGAAAGCTGCCAAAGCAAAATCAAGGTATTCGTTCATTAAAATGCATTAACCTAATGTAAAGAAATAAATTCCATTTTCATTTCAAACGTTTTTATTTGTTCTATTATTTAATTTCATTTGATAAATTATTTAATATAAATTTGAACGAAAATTGCTCTTAATAACCGTCATTTGGTGGATAAAAAATCGAGTTTTTGTTTGTTAGGGACCTTACAAAACTAATCAGCCGTTTAAATCTAATCAGAAAGAGGGACTCCGGCGATGTACAATTGGTTTTTAGATCAGAGTTCTTTGGATTCGGAGGATAATATAAAAAGTTTAAGAAGTTAACCTTCAATGCCTAGTTTTGCGCTTAGTTATAATTTCACTAATCCTTACTATTATGTGGAGATCGACTTCTTGCTGAGATTACAAATGACCTTTTATTGTTCAAGTGTTTTAATAATATATAAAATTAAGGAACACAAGTTATTTGAGCGTCCGTGGCAACAAGTGAAGAAATCTACAACGAAATAGTGAATAAATGCCAGCTGCTGCTTCGCTCAACAATTCGCTGAACAGTTTAAATGATAATTTTGGAAAAGTTAGCAAAGTCATAAACCCTTCGTATGCATCGTAACTTCTTCCTTCTGCTTCTGCTGCCTCATTTCTCATCTTGACTCTGTTGTAAAATCGTGCACTTTATAGCATGTATCGGGGCGGTTTTTTTTAATATAACGAATCACTTAAGGGGGGACGAATAAAGGCCTGAGAAAAGTATTAGTGGTATTTGAGAGGCAGAAAGGGAGAGGGAGTATCTTAACCCAGGCGGATGTATTGCCGGCAAGTGTTACGCCTTTACCGATCGAGCATTCACTATAACTACTATGTTCACTAATTAGACCCGGTTACGCCACCAGATAGTCGCGCTTCTTAACTACCTGGCTATGCGGCGATAAATATGTTTTTTATTATTAGACACATGAGATTTAAAGTGAAGCTTAAGAAACTCATGGTCAAATGGGTGATGGAATGTCTCGAAATGTTGTATTCATCCAAATATTAGTAGATTTACGAAATTTTACAAATTGAAAGACGAAGGCGTCGAACTTTCTTTTTTTTCGGGAAGGCATGTAAACATTGAAATGAAATAACTATTTAATCTAAAAAATGAGTTAACGTCATTTGTTGTCAGGCATCATGAATTTTCCAACAGCCTCAACACATTTTTTTAGGGGATGCCCCCTATTCGTGTAACACGGTGGCGGTCAGAAAGAAGAATAATTGAAGAAAGGAAAAGATATAGGGAGGTGAACGCCGCCTACTAGCTGTATGTTTAATCGCTGAGCGCTATGGCTTTACCAACTGAATACTCATTATAGCTAGGATCAAAGTGAACTTAATTGCATTGAGTTTTGAATCCTCGAATACTGACTTGTTAGTCGCGGTTCTTTCCTACTCGGCTACTTTTGTGGATTTGTATATACCGATCGTCTATTCGGCTTACGCCCTGACCTCATTTATTTTCTGTGCTCTCCATTAAAAAGCTGTACTACTTCACTAAGAGAAGTTTTAACTAACTTGGATTTCTCTGCCTTAAAGGTTAGTTCGACTCTGATTTCCATAAATTTCTTTCGCCTGTTTCGTGTCATGAGGTTAGTAAAGTTGCTGTCCAAAGGCGAAGGGATCAGAACGCTGCTGTGGACCTTTATAAAATCCTTTCAGAGTCTACCTTACGTAGCTCTGCTTATTGTGATGCTCTTTTTTATATACGCCGTGATTGGAATGCAGGTAATATATGGAAAATTTTGACGAGGATATTATAGCATTTGATTACCTATTTAAGGTGTTCGGAAAAATTGCCTTGGATGATGAGACTTCAATACATCGCAACAATAATTTTCAAACATTTCCTCAGGCGGTTTTAGTATTATTTAGATCAGCTACGGGTGAAGCTTGGCAAGATATAATGATGGATTGTTCGCCGCGACCTGAGGTTAGGTGCGATCCCGAATCGGACTCAACTGGTGAATGCGGGTCATCGATAGCCTTCCCCTACTTCATTTCATTCTATGTATTGTGCAGTTTTCTGGTAAGATACGATATCTGATATGATATCGTAGCAAAAAATCAGTTTAAAATTTTTCTCTTTTCTTCTAGATAATAAACTTATTTGTCGCGGTTATCATGGATAATTTTGATTATTTAACAAGGGATTGGTCGATTTTGGGTCCTCATCATTTAGATGAATTCATACGCCTTTGGTCCGAGTATGATCCGGATGCTAAAGGTCGTATTAAGCATTTAGATGTTGTGACGTTATTAAGAAAAATTTCTCCTCCTTTGGGATTTGGTAAATTGTGTCCACACCGTATGGCCTGTAAGCGTTTGGTATCTATGAATATGCCGTTAAATTCGGATGGTACGGTATTTTTCAATGCCACCTTATTCGCGGTTGTTCGTACGTCATTGCGCATTAAAACTGATGGGAATATTGACGACGCAAATGCCGAATTGCGAGCGACAATAAAGCAAATATGGAAGAGAACAAGTCCGAGTTTATTGGATCAAGTAGTGCCGCCGCCTGGTGACGATGATGAAGTCACTGTCGGCAAATTTTATGCCACGTACTTAATACAGGATTATTTTAGACGATTTAAAAAACGCAAAGAACAAGAAAACAAAGAGGATTTGCAGGATGTCAACTCTGCTGCCTTGCAGGCGGGTCTGAGAACTTTGCACGAGATGTCACCGGCCTTAAAAAGAGCTATATCGGGAAATTTGGAAGAACTGACCGAAGAACCAGAACCAATGCATAGGGTATAGGGCGACAGTCTGATCCAATAGAAAAACAAAAGCTAAAGGAACATTTCTTTTCAGCGTCAGCATTCACTCTTTGGTAGTGTGTGGTCGTCCTTACGCCGTCATGGTGGGTTGGCAGCTGTTGAAAACTTCAAATCGAATAGAAACAATAGCAACAATTCGGAATTAAGCAATTATACAAATGACAACATTCATCGCAGTATAGCTGAAGGCATCGATCATCTTACAAGAAATCTTATGCATACTGCAACTAGTAATACTTTGTTTTTAACTGATTTAGGAGTCGTTAAAGAAACAGATACTACCGCTGCTAAAGATGAAGAGACATCGGTGCCACCAACATCCATTACCAATACAACAACAATAGCGGCGACAACAACACCAACAACAACAACAACAACGGGAAAAACAAAAGAAGAAAATGAGTAAGTGATTATCTGTTGTCTTGTAAAGCTTACATATCTAAATATAACACAAGCAGATTTTAATTCGGATAAAATTCATATCAAATCGAGTTAATAAATCAAAGTCGAAAATTAGTAAAATTGCTTTTATGAAACTCATAGTTTTTGGTCCTATTACGCATTTTATGCTATTCTTACGAGTATTTAATTTAATTGAAATTTATTTCAGAAATTCCAATCTTGGTACACTTACGCATCCTTATAACAATGGTAAGATTATTGCCGTAGCATGAAATCGAATGTATTTGTGCCTTAGCTTAGAATAGCTGGCGAGATTATAAGGCATTTGAAATAAATGAAGATTTTTAAAAGATGTCAAAGATTGCTTTGTCTCTCTTGTATGTGAAGACATGTAGGAATGTTTTCATTGTTTTTGACGGCTTTAAAGCTCTTTGTGTAGTCTTTAAAAAATTTTTCAATAATGAAAACTTTTCAAAGTACTTTTCACTAATGGTAGTTTCAAATATCGCATTATTTGTCTTATTTAATTTATTATTATTTTTTATTTCCTTTAGCCTTACAATAGCTTAAGGCTTAGTATTAGTCTTTACTTTGCACTAGTCCTTTATACGTATACAGTCAAGTTATTTGATTAATCTGAGGAGGAGTCGAACTCATTTAGTTGCATTAGGTTTTTACCGTTTAATACGCTTCTCATTGCTCACAAAAAATTTCTACGTTTTTACAATGTTTATAAAGCATGACTTCTCTAACGTGGCAGGAATTTTTAATTAATTATCCATCTATTTCTCAGCGAATGGCAGAATACCCGGGAAAACTCGGACGACCCAATCCAATTCCACTAACCTACATATGACAACGAAACGAGATAAGCCTACATTGTATGACGTTAGTGGTTTAGCGGAGAGTCTAGTGGAGGAGGTGAGTATAGCTACCGCTAGATAAGATGAAAATTCATCTATGAGTTCTAAGTACGTTCTTATGATCAATCACACCTAAGTAAATTCTCTGTTAAAGAATTTAAGCAAGCCTTTAAAGGTTTGGTTATCCTTAAAAGTTGACAACTACTAGCGAGTTCTAAGTAAGCTCTCGCTTAATTCTTATAACAAGGGTTTACTTTGACCAAAATTTATTATACATTCTAACTAAGGCTTCAACTAAATATACCCTATGTACAACATGCGGAACTAAGTGACAAATTATGAACGTTTCCAACTAAGTTCTTACGTTAAACCGTAAATAAGGGTATGCTTAAGTAGGGGCTTGCTTGGAACTTGCAATCATAAAAAATTATTTAAGTTGCTGAGAGATCAAGCAAGTATATCTGGGTAGAGCCTTACGATAAATAAGACTGCTTAGAGAAGTTCTAAAGAAGGATTTGCTTAGAACTTGTAATTTTAAACTTAAGCATGTCATTGCAAGTAACCGTTTACCTAAGTAAGTTCTGAGTAAATCTTAAGATTTGTAAAAAGTTCTATTAAGGCTTATTTAGCTCAATATTTGGGCTTTATATAGGCCATTACGTACGCAGAGCTCACATGCAAGAGTTTATTAGGATCGCTTATCGAATGCTTTAGCTATCTATATACAACGTATAAATTATACATAAAAATTTCAGGTATTGAAAGCAGACGGTCTAGGAATGTATTGTGACTCAGATTTCGTGGGCGCCGCAACGTTTGAAATTCGTGACGCTCTTGATATGACAACCGAAAAAATGAATTTAGCAGCGCATCAAATTTTAACTAATACCAATGTTAACCGAGATGATATAGAATCGAAATCAATAATCAATTCTCTGGGATCGTCAACATCCACCTCCAATGAACCTCGGTATTTACCTACAATATCGGCGATTACTGATGCACCTATGTATCCATATCATTTCACTCGAATGCCAACAACACTGTCAACAACGTCTTCGTCTCCCATTAGTAGGTCGTCATCAATTGTCAGTACCACCAATAATGCCTTTAAGAATAATAATTTCGGTTCCTAGCAGAGCCAAAATATATAATTGTGTTTTCCATTCTTTGTTTATCAATTATTGTTAAGTAAAAATTGTAATTCCTTTCCGAATACAAATATATAGATGTTATTGCAAATTGAAACGTTTAAAATGCAAAATGTGTTTCATTCGTACGAGTTCCATTCGTAGAGCAAGAACAAGAGAGAGTTAACTAATAAGAGTAGCTAAGTAATACTTTCTAAAGCAAGTGCTAACAAAATCGCAGAAGTTTGATGTTTCTTTTGTCCGTAACTGCTTACTCGTTCACCATTTGTTTTTCACTTTTAAAAGGTTTTATGCTTTTTCCTCATAAGGCAAACAAGAAAGAATGTTTAAAATTATTTTGCACGTTCTTCAAACGAAGATATATTATCTGCCTAAAAATTCGGAATATTCGGGTTCAATATACTCCGATTTGGTAGATTAATTTTTCTCTAATAATACTAGCGATAGGGGTATCATGGAAAATATTTTTGACTGTTAATGAATCTTTTTCATAGCTTCATAGCATCTATTAAGCAAAAAAAAAAACAAAAAAAAAATGATTTTCCGAAAAATTCACAATGGATTCAATTTTTAAATTGTCTTCGCAGTCAACTGTCTATTCATGAATAAAATCTTCTGGCAACAAAAGCTTTAGTATTTGCTTTAACTGGCTGATATGTATTTTTGCCGTTGAAAGCGGACGGGTTCGTGCTTAGCGATAACTATTTGCATTACACATTACTTTCATTTAGGCAAAAGAAAAAAAAACGCACGTAGACCTTGTGGGAGTTTACGGTAAATATGCTTCAAACATTCGCATATATGAAAAATTGGTGCCGATGATCTAAAAAGTAGTCATTCCGCCGATCTAAGAGCGATGAAAAAAAGTGAAGATGCACAATTGAATGCCAGCATCACTCTGGAAGACCATTAAACAAAACTGTGATTACTTTGCGTCGAGTATTAGTGAAAAATGTTCGTAGTACGCTGAAAAAATTTGCCAGTGTAACCAAACTCGGCGACCAGGAAACGTTAGAAAGCACTTTATTCATCAATCCAACGATGTCCAAGAAACGATTGCTTTTAAGTATAGTCTTAAAAAGTCAAATCTAGTCCATATTTCATTTGAAGGGTAGTGAGAACATGTAGTTAACGATTGGTTTAAATAAAAAATATTTTTTCCCTATTCCTTTAAAGTAAGCTCTCCTCTTTGATAAAGAGATCCGTACAGATTTACTTGCATATCGAATTATCCTTTGCGATCGTAAGTTCAAAGATTTCAAATGAAACCGGAGCTCAAAGACAAATGAGTTGAAGAAAATTAAGTCACTTGAAGTTGGTTTTTGTGCCAACAAGGATAGGTTTCGAGTACGAACTAACTAACATACCTATAAGGAAACAACATGCTAATTATTGCGGGATTCAAGGTATCTTACGTATCGGTCTTGGCCTTACCGCAGTACAATTCTATAGAGAAGTTTTTCGTAAATTTCGTTCGTTTTCCTATACACGTAATTTTTCGTACGATTAACGTATATTGAAATTGTATCATAGAAAATGGTAAACTGAACTGTCATCTTTACAACGCTCTTCAATATAAAGCGATCTGATTAATCTTGCCTGAAATATGACGCTAAAGACAAGAAGAGAGTGTTTGACGTAGTAACAAAAATCTCTCAATATTTTCCCCCCAAACCAATAGTATACAAAAATGCATACACACAAGGGTGTAAAAATATGTTGTAGATATAGACACTTAGGCATACAAATACCAAACGGTATAAAAATCACTTACACAAAACAAGTATAAAGACTTCAACTGGTACTAACATGAGTAAAAGACGAATTGCATCGTGAGAATGCAAGGAATGACGAGTTTCTTGACCAACGTCTAAAATATGTTAATTAAAATTATATTCGGATGAATCCTGAAGAACATATGGGCTGACTTAACTAGTTCGTGATCATGCTCTAATAACAGTAAGAATTAAAGATTTGTTAATGGACGCTCTTGTGGGCGTGCCATTTCAACGTGCAGACGAGTAATCATTTCGTTACAGGTAAAATAATTTCATTACTTATGCCTCTAAGGAATTTGAAAAACTAATTAATTTTAACATATATGCAAATAAATGAATTTATAAAAAAAAAAAGCCCAGACATTTGCATATATGTCTATTTATTTTAATGTTTAAGCATTTGACAGATAAAATAATTTCTGTAATGGGAGTTAAATTTAATGCCTGTGGTAGACGGTGGAAAAACATCATGTATCATAAGTACTTTCTGACATCGGTACGATGAGAAACTCTCATTAATTATCTATGATCATTAATATTCATTTGAGTTAAAGTGTAAGAGATTTAGATGTACATAGAAGTTGAGTTTACTAATTTTGTCATTGCGTTTGTAACATGAAGAATATTGCTTATCTGCTAGAGTACTCGGACAGAGTGAAAATTCTTCATTGGCCTGAAAAATCGATGATTGATCTTCCGCCCTTTCTTTTTTTTACAACAAAAGTTCCGAATCGGCTAATAGTGCAATAATTTTACAAAATTGAGATTGAAAACTTTAAAATATTATTAAATGCTTGAAAAAATTTCTATCAGCGACTTCTACAGATAAAAATGCTAAGGGTATGGAATACATCCATGTACATAACAATTACATTCGATGTTTTTGATCTTTCTCTACCTGAAACAATGGTTTTCCATTTAATATTATTGAGTTGTTCAGCGCATGCCCACGCTACTCATAGAGCCTTCAAAATTGCTTTTTCGACCCTCATTACTTTTGTTATTTAGTTTGAAGAAATCTGCTGCCAAAGACCACCAAATGCGCTTAGAAGCTTGTGGTAGTGCTGCTCTTTAAAAAAAGCTCGAAAACAATGAATTGCAACATTTAGTGGACGATAACCCGGCTCAAACTCTCAAAGAACTTTCGCACAATTTAGCAGTTCATGAGTCAACAGTGTCTAGACGTTGACATGCAATGGGAAAGATCCAAACCGAGCCAAGCAAAAAAAGGACAGTTTTCTGTGTGATAAGAAATGGATCTGTCACGATAATCCCACGTCCTGGGTCAACGAGTCTAGGAGGACCATGCACACCGACACCGAAGCGAAATATTCACGGCCATAATGTTTTCCTGTCCATATAGTGGGATCGGCAAGGTGTAATGTGTTACGAGCTCCTGAAACCGTTTAGAATTATTTCTGCAGATATCTATTGACGCCCATTAAGCAAATCGAACTATGTATCGTTACAAAAACGACCAGTAATAACGGTTAAAATGGCTGCCACACGAATTGACTGAAAATGCCTTATTTGCCACTTGTTGCAGTTGTTGTCAAGGATACACTGACACAGCTCGAAGATGAAGTCCCGCTAAATCTAACGTGCTTGCGCCTTCTGATTACCACCCGTTCAGATCGAAGCAGTACGGCTTGGCTGGCATGCGGCTCCGCAAAGTTGAAGAAGTGCGAAAGTTGCTCGTTGATTGGATCGTCGCTAAACTAATCTCTTTCTTTCGTCACGGTATCGACATGTTGCCCGAAAGGTAGGAAAAAGTTGAAGGAGATGGTGGAATCTAGCTCATAATACGATTGTCTTCTACTTCTGCCCACGTTTCGCAATTATCTAGGTTGAACACAACCTTAATACCAACCACCCACTGGAGCCGGTTCAGTCATACTTCTATTTGACTCTTGTTGACCTTTGACGATTATGGGGATTGAATACAATTATTTGCGTCACCGTTGAATTCGAGCGACGATTGACGATTACACGGACTGAACATAATCTCAATAGCGATCAATTACTGCTGCCAAATGAAGTCATCGTTCTACTCGACTTCGACCGGCTTTTAAGGGTTATCCAGACTAACTGTTTGCCCCGCTCAACACATAATTTTATTTCGCTCTGGCGGAGACTTGACAAAACAGATTGTACATAAGCTCCGCTTAAACCGTGGTTTTATATGATTTATATGATTTGGACAATAATGAAGTTTGGACGGAATAATGATACGTCAATCACTAGGGATTTTGGGGAAATTTCGAAAGAAAAGTAACTACTAACGTAATTACCTTTTAAAGTGCTTTTCACAACTGTTCCAAACAGGCCTATAATTTGTATATATTTCTATGAAGGTACGTTGGGTGGTAGTGATCGGTATTCCAGATTTACTCTAAAGTTTTCTTAAAGACCAAAAAAATTTTGGTTGGATTATGTTGTTATTGCTGATGTTGTTTATTTCTTTCTCTGACAATTTAAGATATGAGTTGGCTTTGCTATTTTGTTAGTTTTTTTCAATTATAATTTTCTACAACTTTGCACATATCAAGCAACACATATACGGTCGCATTTACGGTATAGTTGCGTTGTTTATCAAGAAAAGGAATTTCCTTTGTGTTGTTCTTCCTAGTATTTGAGCGTTTGTTTACTTGTTTTGTATTTTAACTTTGTTTCATTCGTGTGCATGTTCATGTGTTTGTGAGGATTTCATTTTTTTATTTTTATCAGGAAGTATGCATACAAGCCATACATAACATATACATAAACAATTCTTTGCATTTTCCTATGAATGCATCAGCGTGTATGCATTTACTATTACTGTGACTACCTCTAGACGCTACTACAACTGCTCCTAGGACTACTACTACTACTACTACTACTACTGCTAACACGAGCGCTGTTACTTACTGTTTTGCCTGTCTTGTTGTGTGTCTCTGGCATTTCATTCTCTTCTCATTTCTGGTTTTCGTTATGCTAGTCATGTACTATATGCTGCTGTTGTTGTTGTTGTTGTGTTATATTGTGTAGTTGCATTATACAGTAAAATACACTCTAAATACTCACATTTACGACTACAATTAGCTTTAAGTGAACACAAACACATGTACGTGGAAGCAACTGAAATACAATACCGTTTCCGTCTTTCTATCTGCATATGTGTGTATCTATATGTACATAATATTTTATACTTTTTACCCCCAAAAGACAAAACCAACAAACAAGCAATG